TAATTGGAAGTCTAACATGCATACACAGTTGATGTTTATTTATATATGTATGTGTGTGCATAGAAATAAATAGTGGATAAATAACAATTGTTCATCTAAGTAATTCTTAAGAAACCATTAGCACAATTGGACCTTGGAAACTATTAATGACTATTTGAGGTCTGGGAGAGCAAGGGAGAGGTCTGGGACTGGCACATCAAAATATGTAACTCAAAAACTGCATCTCAGTTCTATTTGCATTTATCATTTTAATCTCATCCTTGGAGCAAATAACCAGCAACCAAAAACCCCATGTGTCTCCAGCTAGCTTGGCCAAGCAGAACTCTCTAATAACATACAATAAACTACCACATCCAGAGTACATTTATTAATCTGTCTTCACATTCTAGCTGCTTGACCAGTGAAGTTATGCTTTTTAATACTACAAATAGCTTCTTTCCCACAGGCTTTCTGCCTTCAGGCCTGTGTCCAAGAACTCCATAGGACCACTAACCTGAGGGACAAAGGCTTAACAATCCTGTTTCTAATTTAAACCAGTGCTAACTGCACAGAGAAAAAATAAAACTGCATTCAGTCAGCATGCCCAGATCACTGCATTTTGTGTTACAGGGGTCCCAAACAAGGTGGCTGGTCTGCCTGCTCCATCCCAACCCAAGTATCAGAGGCAGAACCAGAGAAGCAGGCAGGCACTGACACTGCTAAGTGCTGCTGCAAGGCAAACAGTCTGAAAAAGCAGCTAGAACAAAGATCTGACTGGGTTTAGAATCATTTAATGGTTTTGTCTTGCAATTTCTTAACAGATCTTTGGTTAATAATTTTACATAATGTGATATGAAAATCGTATGTGGAAACTCCAGCTATCTAGATAGTAATAAGTTATCATTCACATTGAAGTAATTCAGGTGTAATAGTAACTAGCTTTTTCCTGTAAAAAAAATAGACTTGCAAAAAACAATACTGCACACAAGTAACTCAGTAGGACTAAACTCAGTACCTAAAACCTTCCTGCTTAAAGAATTAAGTCCTGACTTCTTCAGAAATCAGTGATAAAACTCACAAATACATCAGAGCAAATTTATTTTTCTGACAGTACTGATGTTTTTAATAACATGCACTGTGCCCATACAAGGGCCAGAAGCCCAAAGAAATATGAGGGACCAGGTCACTATTTGCCCTCAGATACGTGAACACCTTCAATAAGCCTCTCTCTGTCTGATAACAAAACCATTCTGAAATAGTTACTGGATTTTGTGCTCTCGGTGGACAGGACACACTGTCAGCAGGGTAAATATTTCCACTGTGAGTTTCATTGCCCTTTTCTGTGAAGCTAGAACTACAGCGCAGTTAAAACTAACAGAAGAAAAAGTACTGGAAACTAATATAGCACAATCTAAAAAGAAACAAACTTAGGAATGCAGTGAATGTTTTTCATTAATTCTTTCACATATGGTTTTTATTGCCATCCAAAAATGTCTAAATGTCTCTTAGTACATTATAAGAAATGAACAAGGGATTCGTGTACAGAGCTGCTATCACTGAAATTCAAACTCAAGTTTAGAATCTCAGTGAAAAAATTACCTTTTATCTGAAAAAAAACCCACCAACAATACAAACAAACCAAAACCCCCAAACCAACAGGTTCTTTAGCTCTTGCAAATAAAATATTAATTCTTTATGATTAATACTTTAAAAAAATATCTCCTGAAGTAAAAATCAAGATAGCCTTTATAGGCAATTATCAGCATCTGCTGGTAAAGAATTTAGAAAAAGTTCAGTGTCCTTTTAAGATTGTAGCAAGCATCTGCTTGTTCCATCCATAACTTTATTGGATTTTCAGAGAATTTTAATACTTCTTAGTATTTGACTTTATTGGAAAAAAAAATTGTCCTGGTTTGCAAGGAGAAACAAAGAACCTAACCCCAAAACCTCTCCAGCATACATATGGAAGCGTGTCTAATACTTCCCTCATTGGATTGGCATTACAAAAGCATTCCTGCATTGCATCTGCTTCAGCATATGCCCAGATGCACAGAGCTCAGGACTAACCTTAATGTGCAGCAGGTGCAGCTCAATCCATGTGAGAGAGAGGCACCGAGGGAGCAGTATCAGGTGCTGCAAGAGAAGGTATGACCAACACTGCTCACATGCATGGCCTCAGTGCTATGTGAGGAAATTCAAGAGATTGCCCAGGAGGCAGATACAGGCTGTGGCTGCTGGTAGGAGAGGGGTGCCCAGGTCTTGGGGATGCTCACATGCAGCACCCACCGCGTGCTCTCTGGGGGCTCCGTGCCAAATCAGATAAAGCTAATGCCTTTCATCTACTGAAACTCATCTAAGATTAATTCTCAGGTATTCCTCAAACCTTTCATTTTCACAGATAATACTTTAACAGAAATCACAATGAACATACACAGGTGGTCACAAGACAGATAATACTGCTGCTAGATAAATAAGATTCCAAGAACTAAGTATGCAAAACCACATTTCTCTACATTTTGTGGCATTCTAATACAGTGACAAATTTCAAAGTATCTTCTTAAATAATCTGAATCAATAAAACTGATTCCACAAATGGTCACAGCTATGCAGGACAGTCATCTTCCATCCCATTACTGCCTGCAATTATCTTCTGCTACAATAATTTGCTATGTTACTGTTTCCAAGTGCATAAAGGCAGAAAAAGGACTTCTTTGTAGATCTGTTTTGAAGCCGGATGGTTTGCACACCAGCAGCATCCTACAGCCCCTGCACACCGAAGTTAAGAAATGCAATCATTAGCGTAGGAGGTGTGTGCTGGGAGTACACAGTGAGGCACATGCAGCCCAGCAAAAGGAGCAGCTCAGGCAAGCTGCAGGAACCTAATTAACAGCACACTACATACTTGTTTTTAGAGGTAAAAGATGACAAGCCACAAAAGATTGTCTGAGCTTCTTGTCTCCTCTTTGGTTTGCAAAACAGAGAGGTCTTGCAGAAAAGCAGCAGCTGCAGCTACCCTCCATCCTATCCTGCTCAAGCCAAATCTGTCCAGTTGCAAGGATCTGCCTTCTGAAATCACATTAACCACTGAACGCTGAACGTTCTGACACTTGGGTCAAGATGTCCATTGTTAATTGGATATTAAATAGCAACTATCTTGCAGAGAACTGGTTTAAAGTCACCTGCCCCAAACATATTGTTGCACTGCAGAGAACTGGCTGAGCATTAGCTGAGCATTTCTAAGCTGATACTGGGAAGGGGTGGGGGGTGAAATCCCTCTGCAACTACCATAGCTTACAAGTGGTTACTTCTGTGATAGTAAACCCAAAACAAAGTCTAACACATAACCCAACACAGGCACGCACAGAAAGCTGATATAAAATACACATACACATAAAATACATCCATTGGTCCATATATAAAAAAAAAAGTCTTTGTAGGTAGAACCCTTCTAATTGCAAATTTGTTAGTGTTAAAGGTAGAGTGATGTTTTGACACTATTTTACACTTTAAAAACATGAGTAAATGCGTTTTCTGTGATGAGCCTTTCCAGCTTTACATGGGGTCACTAATCCACATCATATTTCTCTTTCATTCAGCCAGGCTCAGAGCAAACTAAGGCATGACACGTACAGAAAGGTACCCATTCATCATTCAGTGAAAGTTCACATCATCTGCAGTAACATAATAAATAGCAGAGAAACATCAAGGCCATGTACGTTACAGCCACCAAGATGAGAGAACTGAGAGACAGCCCATCTTTGGCAGGACGTGTAGAATTGTAGATGCATATTTTCAGGAAAGGATTAGTATTCAAGGTATTTTAGCTGTATGCAACTCGGTATTGCAAAGCTGTGTATTTTAGCAGGTATTTTTAGTGTGACTGGTTTTTTATTTTTTATTTTTTTTTAATTCTTGCAAAGCTAAATTGCAGCTGGTCTGGAGAGTACAGATTAGTTTTCTTTTTATAGTAACCATTGCTACACGTGGTTCTACAGCTGGTGGGTGTTAGGAGCCCTGGCATGAAGCAGCATTCCTGCAGCTTACGCATCCTTTTTTACTCCTATTGTCTTCAAATGATGCTTTTGATATAAATCAATTTAGAATATTTTATATCTGTAATTTCTCTGTAAATTAGCAAAAAAGTAAAGTTACTGGATTCGAGTTAATTTTCTGCACATTAAAAGAATTTATGCTAGCTTCCAAAAATCCTGACTGTTTTGTTTGAAAGAAAATTCAAAGGAGATTGAAAGTAATCAAACTGTTTATAATGTAGTTTTGCTTGCAGCACACAATTTTGAGACTACGGATTTGTTAATTAGCAGCAAAAAAAGCATGAAACAAAACCTTTGTGCATAGATTGATGTTGTGTACAGCATGCACTTAGGTAACATGCTTTAGTTTTGAAACTGCATGCTTCAGTACAGTTTGCAGGACATCAAAGCAGAGTAGTTTGGCGACACGAGAAAAGGATTTCTTTTATTGTCACATTCCATCATGATCAGAGGGATGGCTCCTTTTCCTGACTGAGCAAGCCAGCAGCAGCAGGTAGCCACAGAATGCAAGATTGATCGATATAACAGCACACACTTTAGGAGAGACTCATTTCTCATGTTAGGAAACTATATGAGAACCTTCAGGTTCTGTTCTTGTCTCATCAGCATGTGTATGTTTTAATATTGGCAAGACAGAAAGCTGAGAAAACAAATCTTTTAGTTGGCAGTTCTTAATAATCTGATATCTTAGGCAACAATGCAAGACTTGAAGAGCCTTATTTAAACACATTCCTCTGTAAGAAAATTACGCATGTAGTAATTTATTTTAGTCTACTCCAATAATCCACCTTGTATATATTAATATGCATACTGTAATCTATTTAAATAAGAAAGTTGAACTATTTCATTTAGGTGCTCAGAGTTTTTAAGAGATCATGCATTGATGCTCTTTGTTTGTGAAAAGCCAAGTAAAAGATTCACAAGAGAGGTAAATTAGAAATTGACCAACGGGCATAGCTTAATTCTTACCTTGGCTGTTTTTTTCACGAGTTGACATTTTTGCTGGTTATGGGACAGAAACAAAATATCTTAAAACTATTTCTAAATTCTCACTGTCACCTGTGCTTGGATGAAGACTGGCACACAGTTTAAAAGCTTAATTTTTTTTTTTTTTTTTTTTGCTTTCTTAACCTCTCTCCATTTGCAAATATACATAGACGGAAAAATAGAGCATAACCCAGAGAAGTAAAATGAATCTTCCCACCACCCACCAAAATTCTCTGTCCTATCTAAAGATCCAGTTTGATGAGGCATTATCCATAATTTCAAAGACCTTTACAGAGGCCTTGAGTAAGGGTTGGCAAGATCAGTCTTTGAAGTAAGCAGTAACTCAATTTTAGCTCTGCATCCCTGTTTCAAAACCACAATTCCTAATGCATTTATTTACAAGAAATACTATTCAGTTAAAAATATTTTTTTTCATATTTATTTAAAAATAAATTTTTTTATTTACCTTGGCTGATGATGACATCTTTGTGCCTAGGGAAAAATTCAAAGTTTTTGTTAGGACTTCACGAAACCCATATAATCTACTTTTATATTTTATTCCATTTGGTACTATACAAAGACTCTCAGAGTCTGCGTGTAATGTAACTGTACCACAGGATGCTATATAATTAACTTTGGTCAACGTAGTAAGCATTTACACACATTTTTCACTCAGGTCTCTATATTTTTATTTTCAAGTTAAAGCATTTGACAGCATGGCACGGGTTTCTAAGAACTACTTTGACAGCAAGAGGTAAAATGATGTTTAAAATAAATTAGCAAGGTTATAATTTTTGTGGACTGAAAATTCCATTTTAAGAGAGCAAATGTGTAACAACAAAATGTTTTAAGCTGCCAAACACCCTCAGGTCTGCATGTGAAGAATTTACCACCTGTCAAAACAAGTTGTCTGCACAGAACAACATGAAATTCTCTAGGAATTAACCCTGTTAGACACGTGGGTTAAATGTAAGCAAGTCACAGTTTCATTTAAAATGGATCCACACAGCACTGCTGGATACACACAAGGTCTTCTCAAGGAATGCAGTTCGGATAACTTTCCTTGCCAGAACCAAGAATGAACTTTCACAAAAATTTCTGTCTTTTTGGTTTTTTTTTTTTTGGGGGGGGGGTGGGGGGAAGAAATACTGATTTCTAGCATCAGAGTTCTTCTTGTCAGAATGACACGTCTTGATGGGAGAACTTATTGCATTATTAAAAAAAAAATAAAATTCCACCCTTGAATACATTTGAAATTCAGCAGCAAGGTATGAGAGGCAGCCAATGGATAGAGGTCGAATTTTTGCAACAGTGACTAAGGGTCAAGCATATGCATGAGGAAATGAGGAAAGTCGTCTCTGGCTATTGGTACAGTCACCCTTCACCGTGCTACCAAAAGATAAATTAAAGACAAATTCACAGTTTTGCCTAAAAAACATTGAATGATTGGCTGCTGTGAGAATGCTGTCACTTCTTGTGACATTAAACTGATTTACGGTTCAGCACTGGCTTAAAGATTGAGCTTACTAAACAAAGTCCATATTCCGGGCTGGCAGCACAAAGCACATGTAAAAAATTTCTGTCCTGAGGCCTACAGTAGGGGCTGAATTCTATTCCCTTGCACAAGACTGGCAATTTTAGGTTGATTAGGTCAACTTCTATAATTGGGAACTTTAAACGCAGTCTTTGCACAATACAACTGATTCTACTAGAAATCAAGCATGCAGGACCTAAGAAATGAGCTTTAATGTGCGCTCTTGAATGCAAATACTCTTTTTACTATAAATCTGAAAGTAAGAACAAAAGACTCAATACAAAATACAAAAAATTGTAATATCCATTCCTCAATCAGACAATAGTTTACAATCCACACTGTTAGAAGTTTCATTTTTTGCCCAGTGCTTTAAGATACGTGAGCTTCAAGCTGTGGACAAATAACTTTTTCTGATAGTAATTAATCCTAATCTTTCGTCAACCACTCTTATCTTAGACATCTGATTTGCTCTACAGTAGAGATGATAGAAGGGTGGCATTTAATGTCTTCCAGAGAAAAAGCAGGAAAATGAAACAAGGCACTCACTTTGACCTTTCCTGAATCAATACGCAGAAAGGAAATAAAATTAAAATATATTTTTCAATATTAAATAAAGGAAAACCTTAACACTTTTGGAAAGATATTTTATTAGGATAATAGAAATCGGGAAATAAATTTGATTAAGAAGAGGGCTGTTCATTCCTAAACATTATCTATAAGTACTCTGCTACAACTGAGAAAACAGGGCATTTAAGTTCTGACAGTCAAAAACAGTACTAAAAGGAAACAAAAGTACTTGCAAAATATGTAAGCCATAATCTCTCTCACACAGCACTTCACTGAGCCACAGCGCTCTTCAGGCTAGACATAAAGCTTTTAGTAAATGTGCCGATACCTATGCCCCACAAATTAATTTATGATGTTTTTGTTCTTTCTGTTCCTAGGGAAGATGGTATGCACTTACACCAATCTTATTAAATATGTGTTTGCAAGTCTCTCATGGAAGCTCAGGACACCATCATGGAAATTACTTTGAAAGGCCTGAGGAGTTCTGCCTGTTGTAGTAGGAGTGGTTTTCAGGTAGCCCTGCCGTGGGTCAGTTAATGATTATTTGAATGAAGATTAATGAGTAGATGTATGAGATCAGGAAGGTAGATAAGCTGGCAGTACTTTTGGGGCAAGCTTAGAACTCAGAAGGATCTCAGAAAACAGCAAAGGGCTCAACCCAAAAGTCAGCACAATGATTTCAACAAAGTGAGCACAATTCCAAAAGATAAAAATGAAACCAAACATACAAATATGAAGCTGGAAGCCCAAGTGGCAAAGAGGACAAAAAAGTGGGTCAAGCAAGGGGGTCAGCAATGCAGAGTTAGAGCAAAACACAAACTCGTGTCTGTGCTAACAGAAGCGGGTAAGTAACTACTCAGTGCTATTCTTTCCTAGTGCCTTCCCTGTGGAGAGACTAACTGAGAAAAATAATACTGAAAAAGAGCACAAGGGGAACAGTGGTTTAGAGTGCATAACCCACACATAAGGACAGAGGAGACAGGGCTTCCACCATGTGGTCAGAGAACATAGCAGCTAAAAAGCGACATACCATTGTCACCATTCACTACTGACAAAAAGGTAACTTAATTTATAGGTGCAGTGGTTTATCTTGGATATCCAGAAATGTTTTTGCTGAGTGTGGCATCCCACTGCTTTCTGGCAGCCTGATGTACAGAGCAAAGCAGGGAAGGCTTCAGCCTGGCCTCAGCACCAAGCAGCCTACCAGCCACTTTGAGCACTGTTAGGCTCGTTCCTCCAGAACTAACCCTTCTTGTTAAGAAGGTGGAGAAGTGGTGTTCTATGCCTTGTCAAGACCTTAATGAAATAAGAAAACACCATTCAATTCTTCAGGCCTTCTTTGATGTCTAGGGACTCTTGGGTTCTTTAGGGCAGTGCAGGAAAGCAAGCACATGCACAGTTGCTGTGTCAAAGTCAGCTGCCATGCACAAAGTATTAAGAAAAGCTGTAAAGCAGGCCTAGAAAAACACTGCAACACTTTACTGTTTAAATAGAACTCTCTGAAGGACAGAAGTAACAGAAAATAAACCCTGGCATACTAAAAGTCAAACTGAAAAGAAAATCTCTGCCTATTATCTAGAAACAGTATCCAGAAATTTGTTAACCAGTGACCTATCTGAAATCATATATGTTTATTTTTGTAACTACAATCTACTTTAGAAACACACACATCAAATCCAGTGAATTAACAGCAAGGAAATATAATGGCATTTTCAAATAATTATTAATCATTAAAATGACTGGTTAGAAACTTCACTACAGTAGTATTAAGCTATAAATCATAACTTATAGCACATAATTCCGCTAATCCAAACAGGCTATTAAAATATATTTACACTCACTTCACGCTTTCACATTTTATAACTATTTTCAGATTCCACTGATATCTGGAGTGTCACATTTCCAAATTGTGCAAGTAATTATTTGCAGTGAAAACAAAAGTGCAAATTTTTTTTTTTTTTGCATATATTTCAGTTCACTAAATTATGCAATTTCTTAATATTTTGATTTTTAAGTTCACTCACTTTTATGCACCAACTATACGTACTTGTCTGCATTCTTTGCCACTTTCGATATTAATTTAGATGTTGATGCTACTCTCAGTAGCTTGTTACGACTGTCATCTGAGCTCTCCCAAGCACTGTGAGGTTTTTCAGCAGTCAACGACCTCTTTATGCTAGAAGAAAAAAATATATATATTTTAGAATGACGATAAGAGTAACTGGAATGGGTTTGCAACCGACAGATCAAGCAGCAGTAGACAAAAGCAGAGCTAGATCTTCCTTCAAGCTGAAGCATGAAACAGGAAAAAAAGATTAGTCAAAAAGTTCTAACTGGATGAACAAAAACAACTGAGCAAGACAGATGCCAAATGTTTTATCCATTCTTTTGCATTTTTACACACTCTTACATAAAGACTTGAACAAAAAAGATCTCTATACTTCGTTACTACTTTGCTAACAAATTAGAAAAAAAGGGGAAAAAGCAGCTTCAACATATTAGAATTAAGGAATAAATTTTTAAAAAATCACTCAGAAAAGTTGATTTTTTATTGACTGATACACTATTCGTCAGATTTAAACCAACAATCCATGGAGGAAAAACTCTGCCAGACTATGATTGAATAAGATTGCTTTGGAGGTAGCCCATTTTAAACAACATTAATAGCTTCAATCATTTTGAAAAATGTCTGCAAACTTCTTACACGAAGGCAAGCTAGGGTTAGCTCAGTGTTATAGACAAATCTCTGAATTCTGATGTACTTTTTCAGCAATCTTATTGTAGCCAATTTACAATAATAGTAAGCTGAAAAGTTTTGCAGTCATTAGTTCGTTTCATACACAAATCAGGGAAAATATGTTCAAAAGTGATATAGGCCATATTACTCTCATCCAACTGTCTTTGTCTGCATCTGTTCAGCTAGCAGTGTTACATGTCATCCCATCAGAAACGCTTTTTGCAGGCGTAAGTTCTGAACTGTAGCCTCAGAACTGGCAAGCTCACCTTCACAGCACCTCAGGAGGCTAGAAAAGGTCCTGAGACAAACGCGTTAACCAAATCATGTTACACCACAACGAGACCACAAGAGGCATTTATTTTTTTCCCCACATCGCAGAAGATTAGTATGCAAGACTTCAGGCAAACACCTTTACAGTGAGATACCAAGGCAAAAGGACAACAGGCTGCAAGTTCAGCTTCAGATAACGTAGAGTTTGTACAAGACATGAAGACAGCCTTTATGCAGTGTTATGACATGCATCAGTCAAGTGGAAATTTAAATATTTATTAGAATTCAAGCAATGCAAGACAACAATCTTGTGAACTACAGTAAATTTCAGAGAAATAAATTTAAAGGTTTGCCTCCCAAACAAAAAACTTAAGAGAAAAAGATGTCATAGTTTCCAAAACAATAAGATAATGAACCAAAAAAAAAAGAAAAAAAAAAAATGCAAAAAAGGGAAAAAAAAACCCGAAAGCTCAACACAGTAAGTGATCTGAATAGTCTTTAAATTCAGAATTAAAACCAAATCATAAAATTCACTTCCTTAAATTTCCAGTCCATTAATTTTTTATTTTCTATTTTTTGTTCCTCCAAAAAGAGGAACAGAGGCAAATCTAGAACTCCTACCTTCAGTCAAGTCAAGCAGTTCTGTGATTTGGGTGTCAAAATGCAACTTCACTTGAGTAAAGAATCAGAATAAAAGTGAATTCTCCTGCAAACTAGCAGGAATTAAAAGAGATAAAAGACAAAAATCAAAATAAAGAAAAAAATCTGAACTGTGGTTTTTCTGAATAGAAAAACGTCCAAAAAAATAGAATTGCAATAACACTAGCCTTTCAGAAATGTAACAGCAAGTAGTAAATATCTATGCACAAAATGCACTCAATTCAACTATTTAGACAAAACCTATAATGTGTTTGTAGAGAAAGATCAAGTCAAAATAATTGTTATGTACTTTAAGATGATGAATGATTAGAGGTAAATTTACTATGTTAGAATTTCAATCACTGAGCAAAAATATTTTGCAATCTCAAATTTGCTCAAAATTTTTCAAGAGATTTGCTCTGTTGCAATGTATATTGAATGCATATTCTTTCACAAAAAAAATATTAAACATTAACTTGATCAGGAAATTGGAGCTATTTCACATGACTTGTTGTCAGATATGAACTCAGTGTCATTACAATCATTTTCTAGCTCTGTACTGTGAAAACCTTTTAGTTGGAGCAGAACTCTTGCTTTCTGGAGTTTGCCTGTGTGTTTGGAGAGTCTGTGAGGGCGGCTGGGGAGAAGGTGATGCTTGAGTTTGTGGACTTTGATCATTAGAATGAGATTCCTCTTTTTTTTCTTTCTGTCCAGGAGGTTTTTCCTTCTTTTTTTCTGTACCGCTGTAAAATAAAGTATAATACAGGGGAGGAAAAAAAAAAAAAAAAAAAAAAAAAAAAGAAAGAAAGAAAGAAAGAAGAGAACAAGCAAATAAATTAAAAAGGTGGGAGAAAATGCCATCTATGAAAAGATGGGCAAAGCATGTCACAGCATTGTGTATCTATCATCACTTAAAGAAACTTCTGATTATCTACTCACACTGTTCAGGAGAGAATTTTGCTAAAACAAGATTTATTTACAAGCTCCAAAAATAAAAATGGTGATAGAATTATGGATGTTTATTTACTTATACTGGATAGTTATACTAAATTTACTCTGATTTAAATTGAAATACAACTTTGATTTGAGCATGCTTGGGTGCTGCTACAGCACTTGAAGCTGACAGAAGTGAATGCAGCAGAGTTCAAAGGAAATCATCCCTCAAAACACATCACTGTTTTGAACTGCAGCTGGATAATGTCAGGCTATCTTGCCACTTCTTCAGGTAATATAGAAGAACCAAGAATTCATCTTTATTTTCACATTGCTGTATTTATCAGGCTAACATTTGAAACAGCTTTAAGTATAAGTCATTAGCAACCTTAAATTTATTAACGATTTAACTAAAGGTCACTTGCATAGAACAGCACAATTTGCAGTGTATGGAATGACATAACGAGTAACAGTACTTGAAAGAGAAGAGCATTCCACAGTACACAGCATATTTTTTATATGACAAAAGAACCACTTCCAAAATAAATGCATCAGCCAAACAAAGCAGCAGCTAAAATGGGGATAAAAGGATTTTTCTCTTACATTCAAAGTGAAACAGAAATTGCACCCTTCTGAAGAACAGTATTTAGATTTCTCTATCTTCACATCACTTCTCCCCTCAACTCTTGTGTAATCTTCACTGTTTTTCCATTTACTATTTTCCCACAAAACACTATCCGTGAAAAGGAGTTAAGTAAATACTCAAATTAATAAAAATGGAGTCCTGTTTTTGATACAAGATTCATAGGATCCTCTTGGCTCAAATTGTTATTTTAAAGTGTATCATCTATCACTGAAATAAAACCTGCAAAACATTTGATTTTAATATTGCTACACACTCTGATGAAGCACTGAGGATTTGGTAAAATACCAGAAAATAACATAACCCCCCCCAAAATTTATAAGGTTCAATTAGAATTTCTGCACTAAACCATATCAACTAGTTAAACACATCAATATAGTACCTCTAAGTTACATTTTCTTTTCAGTAAGAAGAAAACAAAACAGAATGGACATTAAGAAAAATTTCTTTACCTTGAAGGTGGTCAAACACTGAAATAGGCTTCCTAGAGAGGTGCTTTATGCCCCATGCCTGTCAGTGTTCAAGAGGCATTTGGAAAACGCTATCAGGGTCAACATTTCGTTAAACCTGACATGGTCAGTCGGACGTGATGATCATTGAAAGTCCTTTCCCACTCTATTTGTTTACTCTACAATGATGTGGCACCAATCCTAAAATTCATCTCTTCATTCTTCCAGCATGCTTGTACAATTACCATTTGCTAACAGCAGTGCATTACCTAACTTTTCAGTCTCATATTTTCTGTGTTCTTATCTGAACTCATTCAGCTCATCTGATCCACCTCCTAGAAGCCATAGGTTCAGTATAGGAATATTTTAATTTGTTCAGTGAACTTCTCAGCTGTAAACTGTCCAGTTCCCACCTTTGACATGACTTTCACTACTTAGCTTCTCTGTTAATCTCTGAGAGTCACTCAACCACTGCTAGCAGTTGCAGCACAAGGTATACTTGGTGTTCCAATACAATGTTTTTTATCTGGCACCAGGCTGCAAGTAAACTTTTCTTTTTTTCTTTTCTTTTTTTTTTTTTTGGGGGGGGGGGGGTGGGATGGCTATTTTAATCTGAAAGTTAAAATATTTTCACTGTAAAACATATTCACTGCGAGTGCTGAATGTATTTACTCACTCCTGCTGAAAGCTTAATTGAATTATGGCTGCTATTGTAGAGTGGCTCTCCCACTAATATCTCTGGAACGCCTAGCACCTCTTGTGCAACAACTGAAACCAAATCAAAGAGAGTACCTTTTTTCTTGTGGGTTTCTAAAGATTAGTTCTTCTGGGAAGCAGTCACTTAATGCATCCAAAAATTGTTTCCAAATCCCAACTTGATGAAGCATTTCTTCAGTCCACATTCAAGTATTTGAGATCTATCACTACCTGTGCTAATTTTCCAGATTCTCCATTTTCACTTAACCCAATGTTTCATCCCTTGGATCACAACACTCTGGCAGCTGCAGTGGAGGGTGGTCAGTCTGAAATTACACAGCTCCTTACCAGAAGCTGTTTTTAGAAAAAATGTTTAGTCTTAAGGAAAATGATCACAGGTCTCTGTGAGCACAGCACAAAGTACAAATGTGTTTCTCTGGTGATATAGAAAGCACGCAGCATGTTCTCTGTTGAAAAGCATTTCGGCATCTCTGTCACACATCAGCTCCAGACAGTTAGGATGAATTTTTCCTCATACATATTACTTCGCTTCTCAGAATCAGACATCATCTATCTATTTTTTCACAATGTTTCTGAGCTCTGTTTTTAGTGCTTCTGAAGCAACAGCTGAAATTGCAGCACGCTTGTTGAAATGAGACACAGTGCTGTTGTGCAGATCATTCCCATGATCTCACGATGTTCAAGGTTGGTAGAGTGAGGATTAAGGAGTCCGGGTATGAAACTGTTTATCTGTAGAAATGCTCGAAGATGCCAGCTCTACAGAGGCCAAAGGCCAATAAACATGCAATATTAAGACTGCACAGCACACAGAAACTAAACTTCCAGTAGATGATTAGATGCGTGGCTACAAATATTCGGAACATGAAAAGCTAAGACAGACTTTGGAGGTGTTTGGTAACTACATAAACTTCCATCAGAAGAGGGGTGGCCAGCAGGGATAGGGAGGTGATTGTCCCCCTCTACTCTGCTCTTGCGAGGCCCCATCTGGAGTACTGTGTCCAGGTCTGGAGCTCCCAGTACAAGAAAGACAGGGAGCTGTTGTAGAGGATCCAGAGGAGAGCCACAAAGATGATCAGGGGGCTGGAGCACCTCCCCTATGAAGACAGGCTGAGGGAGCTGGGCTTGTTCAGCCTGGAGAAAAGAAGGCTGCGGGGTGACCTCATTGCAGCCTTTCAGTACCTAAAGGGAGCCTACAAACAGGAGGGGAATCAACTCTTTGGAAGTGTTGATAACTGCAGGACAAGGGGAAATGGTTTTCAGTTGAAGGAGGAGAGATTTAGGTTGGAGATCAGGGGAAGTTCTTTACATAGCGAGTGGTGAGGTGCTGGAACAGGCTGCTCAGAGAGGTTGTGGATGCCCTGTCCCTGTTCAAGGCCAGACTGGTTGGGGCCCTGAGCAGCCTGATCTAGTATTGAACGTGGAGGTTGGTGGCCCTGCATGTGGCAGGGAGGTTGGAGATTCATGATCCTTGAGGTCCCTTCCAACGCTAGCCATTCTGTGATTCTGTGATAAACAGATAATCATTTCCACCTACTGCAACAGTTGAATCTCTAGCCTGAAAAGAAAGCCTGGAAAAGTAAAAGTGAAGTGTTCTACAATCTGCTGATACTATCCTTTAGCCTGCCTCCTACTCATCATAACGAAAAAAGGTGTCTATTTCCAACATGATTATCCTAACTTGGCTAAGAAGATGAGACTATTGAAATTCACTTACGATTCCCAGCACGGACATTGTACAGAACAGTTTTGCTATTGTTACAAAAAAGAAAAAAATTTACCAGTCTTCACATCCACAAAGAGAGAATTGGCATTTCCTTTCATCTTTCTTAAAACAGTACTGTTGCAAAAGGACAAACCTGTTTTCTTCCAAATACCAAACAAATTTTATGGGAGACTGTGGAAAGGCATTAGAACTGCTGAGAAGATAACTGAAAATTGGAGGTCTTAAAACATTCCTGAAACAGGCCTCCCCACCTGCATATTTGGTTTCAGAGCCTGGGCAAAGCTACCCTCCACACATTAGGGTTTTCCTCTTGTGATCCATCCAGGAATCATTTTAAAGATGTTAACTCAGATGAAAGGGATGCAACTCACACCACTCTGCTCCTCTTTTGTAGTCAAGTGCACAGCAACCAATTAATCAGGAAGGCAAATGCAAACTGAGTACTGCTGGAAACGGACTGGCTCTCATCAACATTCTAAGAGCCACATGGGTAAGATTAATGGAAAAGTGCTTACTAACAAATACTTTCCTTCAGCAGTGCCTTTTGTCCCAGTGCCTGTTGTGCTAGCAGATAGAGACATACCATGATCAGTTTCTAATTTATTGCTGAAAAAATAAACAAGAAGACATGCAATGCTCTTTGAGGGAGAAGAGTGAAGTCCAGGGTATTACCCTTCCTTTCCACATTCCAAATGGCACTAAAGGTTTTTTTTTTAATTTGTTCTTATAAGGTTTATATTTGCATTCAGCATTTTTATTCCCTGAAATATATCATTTTCCTGTCTTCTTGTATAGCACAGTATTTACATCCACAGCAGAAGATGAAACAGCTACTGGAGTTACCAGAGAACTCTGCAGAGGCCAAGAAGTTGTTCACATAATTTACCACAGTTATACATTAAGAGTATTCTCTGTCCTGTGGCTATATCAGGCAGCTTGTTCTTCCTAATGAACCATTGTAAAGTATTGATTAAATAAGCCAAGCAATCATTATTTAAACATCCCACAGAAGAAAGTAATTATAGAAACACTTTGCTTATTGTATTCAGCAGGAACCATTACACTAGAGGGAAAAAAAAAAAAGCCATTGCTTTGTGTACAGCTCATTTAAATTTCAAATACTTAAGCTTAAAGCGCTATTTTTACATATTTGAGAACTGATACATACTTTGCAAAGATGAAGACATTTTGATTTAAGATTTCATGTACAAAAAAAAGTAAACTTCTGTCTTAAAATTCACTATTGTTTCATCACTACTTTACTATTGCCTGCTATTTACACTCAAGACAATTAACTCAGTTTCATCTTTAGTCTCCTTGGGGGGCGGAAAGAAAAAGATCTGGATGAATACCAGAAGGAAAGTTTTCCATTCATACTGAAGTATATTTGCCCCTTCTGTCTCTTGCTGAGAATGCATTTTGGCCAATATACACTATAGAGATACTCTCTATTTACGAATTCTTTTTAGAACCTTGCTGTAAGCTGGCGAACAACACGGCACGTTTCCAAAGCTTATTTTTGCGTTATTACACATCACATTCCCATTTCACTTCATAAAATGTGATCTCAATTTTAGTAACCAGTTGGTACCTTTTTGCAGCAGATGAAAAAGTTTCTTTTCTGGCAACAGATACAGAGGAACTGTGGCTTGTTTTCCTGCTTCCTGTACTCCCATTGGTTATACAGGACATCGAGATAGCTTCTCGGAGGCTTGGCTGACCTAGGAAATGAAAATGAAGAGCAGAAGGTTTTAGGTTTTACATCCCTGTCTCAAAGATCTATCAGAGAAACCATAAATTTTCAGAGGGGGACCTGGTAATTCCACAGTAGCAGTCCCAGCACCAACCAACCAGCTGGTATCCACTGGCATACATTCATGACAGCCTTAATCTAGATAGCTGGAGAAGGGAGACCCGAGACACATAGAGAAAGGCAAGGATTCACTATGACAGGAGACACCCTCTACTGCCACAATGACAGCATATAGCTTCATTCAGTGACATGTCACATCTCTTTCTAGTTGTGATCCACAGAGAGAATTATAGATAGATTATGGCTTGCCTCGGTAAATTGTACAGCTGCAGTAAAGCAGATCAGATAACTCCAACTTTTTTTCAACACCATCATAGTTCACAGACAATACCACACGAGGTCTGTTGCTTTCAACCTGTTGGTTTTTCTATTTTTTTGTTTTGTTTTGTTTTGTTTCCCCGCTTAAGCCCAAAGAAGTTGCAGACAGAAGCCCTTTCTATATACTACACGATTCAAGTTATCCCCTAAATGATATCCCTTAAAGTAACCCCTCAGGGTTGTGATAGTAAGGATTCAAATATTAAAGTTTTCTGTTTATTTTCAGCTGCCCATTTTCATCTTAAAAAGGTCTACCTTTTAGCATATGTGTTATTAAATTTTTTTAATAAGTTATTAAATTTCTGATATGGTTTACTCCATTGAATATCTGCCCCACCCAGTGAGCACTCTGCAGAGCATACTGCAGATTCTCTGTTGATTGAATCAAGGTGTATGTGAGGAAGGCTGTCCATCAGATGCCCACTTCTCTCAATGAGAAGTTTGAAATTATGCAGTGAATGTGGGAGGAGACTACAAAAAAGAGGGGAGGAAGCTCTTCTATCTAAAGGGGTGAATGCTAGCTGACAATCAGCACCTTGACCTGCCTCTGCCACAGCCAGGGAAATACATGGCATTTTACTGGAACCTAACATTTCACCATCTCCCACTAATCCTTCTTTTTTGGGTTCCTGTCTTATTTTCAACATCATGTTCAGAAAAGAGTTTTGTGCTCCTTTCCCTGTAGTTCCAAATTTGTGCTTTTCCCTTCTGGAGCATCCCATGCACAGGAGGAAAAAAAGAAAAACAAAAGAAAAAGCACCCAATAATTAGCAGCCATTTCTGTCCACATTTCTGGGCCACATCCCCACTGCATAAACAGCAAATCGTAACTGATCCTCATGGGGTCATGATGTCCAGTCACTCAGGCTTCAGCAGCAAGCACAAAGGACACGACTGACAGGAAAATCATACATCTGTGTTCATGGCAGGCTTGGAATAGTGCAAAATAAATAAGGCATGAAGCCACATGTCAAAGCAGTCAGGAAGAATCAACAGCTCTGTACGTGGAAGGCAAACTCACGTGGACATATCATTAAAACAATACCAGCTTTGGTCAATTTATCTAACTGTGGTTCTGTCAAGTAGGTTCAGGGACAAACTAACGCTTAAACAAGTGCGTTACATATGAGGGAGATGTGCCAAGGGAATATTAGGTTTCAGAACTACTTGACTGGAAGCAGAAATGGGCAGACATGAGCTGACTGCATCCTGATTCAATTGCACCAAGCAACACAAAAGGGACACCATCTAAAATTCACATTGCAAGAGACCAACAGAGCACACAGAATATCCCAGAAACAAGATTGAAGGAAACCTGAAGAAAATAACGATACTTAAGTGCAGAAACACTGCAGAGATCACTACTATTCTTCTTAAATTCTTCACAAATCAGCTCTACTTAGTTTCTTCCAACTCTGCACTTCTTAGAGACCATTTTATTGGACATACTTGCAATATAGATTTCAAAGGTTAATAAACCATACAAAACCAACAAAACTCAACAGATTTTTGCTCCCTTCTTAAGCTTGAATTGCAAGAACAAGAGCATACAAGCTGAAAAGGCACTTTTAGCATTAGAAACCTATAAATTAGATTCTTTTATTTTTGCTGACAAAGTAAATCATCTTCTTTGTGGAGATGCATAATATCAGGGTCTATGATTCACTTGTGAACTGCACATGACCTTACCATCTCTGTCTCCTCATCATAATAGATCAGTGCCTCCCCAAACAGCACTAGTGCAGCCTTCCAGAAATGGAAATCTGGAGGCATAATAGTGGCAATTCTCAATTCTGCCAGCAAAGCATTCACTGAAAAGCATAAAGAATAGCAGTCCTTCAAGCAAGGTACAGAATCTCACCATTCATTTCTTTAAAACATTTTAATTCAGACCAAAACAACAAAAATCTTGGGAATTGCATTGGTCAAATTTGATTTTTTTTTTTTTTATGTGTCAAAATAAATCAGGCTCTCTTTTACAATCAAAAATAAAACTTTGTTCAGTGGCAGTTTGATGCCATACAACAAAATGTAAAAATCTGCACACAAACACAGAAAACACAAACACCCTCAAATACTAACACATTTAAGAAATAAGCCCCTCCCAAACTCTACAAAATACATTATAATTCTGCTAAGTATTCTAAAAATTACCATCAGAAAACTTGTTTTTAAAGGGAAAAAATCAAGTATGTATCTAATTGTATGCAAACAAAAAACATTTCGATTTTCAATTGTTACAACAAAAGAAGACCAGTTTAAGCCCTGTACAAGTCCCAGGCAGCAGAGCATTAAATTCTGGCTCTCCATCGGGACAGATAACACAGACTCTTCTCAGCCAGAGTGAGAGCCCAAGCTGGCCCAAGGCAGTCAACTTCATGACTTTTAATCAGAGGACCTCTGTAGTTAGATGATTTCAAAAATTAGTAATGTCACAATCTTCCTCTTCACTGTATTTTACTACAGGTAAAGTTGCTTCAGAGACCTATGTAATAACAAAGAAACTCAGGAAAATACAATTTCCATATCAATGGACTGATATGGACAACTGAGTCGTCCCAGCATTCCGATTGCATATCTCCCCAGTATCGCGTTGGATGTCTCCTTCTAGAATAAACAGTCTGAAAATTTTCAGAACAGTACTCCACTTTATCTGCAGCTTTGGAACAAAAGCCAGACATAAACTGAATGTACAATGAAATCCAGTGCAGGGTGACCAGGATTAAAGCCAAATTGCAGAGATCAAAGTGGTAAAAATATATTTTATGGATAGTAGGTTCATCTCAGTTCTGATAGTTTTCATTAACTAATATCTGTTGAGTTCAAAGAAGTATTTCATTAACATCTGTCAAGTATACATGTGTGAGAAAGAAAGATAAGTAGGATCAGGAAAAAACACAGGACACAACAAACTGATAGTATATTTCCACTCCTTTATCAGCCTTGATTAGCTAACTGTGGGAAAACCGAGGCATAGCTGTAAGAGACAGCGATAAGTTTTGAAAACACACATCTCATGATAACACAATAGCTTTTCTTTCCAACATACTAAAGCTGTAATTCATTTCTCTTCTCCAAATTGGTTATAGTTTATTATCACCTTCTCTTGCGTTATCCATACTAATTAGTTGAGTATCCTCATCTGATCCTGACAGGTAAACTGCCTTCCAAAGAAAAGCCAAAACCTTCTTTCTCTTCTTAGGATAATTTCATTTAACTGATGTAGCCCTGTTAAAGTACCTTCTCTGTACATGTCATCCAAGAGGATTTCAAAAAAAAAAAAACCTCAAACGAGTTATTTCTAAGAAAAACAAACCAAAAAAGATTTGCTTATATCATTTTTAAGCCTTTTTTTTTTTTAATACAGCAATAAAGCATATGATATCAAAACCATATACTTAAATACTTTATTTTTACCAAAATTTATAAAATATACCTACGTATTTAAAAATATATTGATGCATAGGTGTTTTGTGCAAATAAAACTGAAAGCTTGAAAAACAGAAACCCACTTTGTTACTCATACCAAATGCATGTACCATCTATACTTAATCCCACTATTAGTCACTAGACAACCCACAGAGGTGAGCCTTTAATAGGGTAGCAGAACATAAGGTTTTATCAGTTCTTCCCAAAATAAAGCCATCAAAAACTTGAAAGCAAGATGAATTTAGACTTCAAGATCTTATTAATAAATTATATTAAAGCTGCTGTCATTGCTTCTTTGTTTCCAAGCTTTCAAAGGACAAGACGACACTCAGCTGATGGAAGACTGGCAAAGACTTGGGAGCACTAAACCTCCACTTGAAAAGAGGAAGCAGGAAAAAATTCCTTCAGTACTTTGGTGCATTCAACTGTTTCATCACGTAAGTTAAATTCTAGATATTCTAGACAAAAAAAAAAAAGTTCTGTTCTTCTATCCCATGAGCAGAAGTCACAGGTCAGAATGAGGTACCAATTCTCCAATAATGACCAATATAAATCAGGAAAAACAAGTCAACTTCTTTTCCTGCTAATTGATTATATTTAAACTCACATAATAATTCAACATGAAGTCAAAATTAAGTTTTGAAAGTCTTCTTAAATCAACTACTTCTACTTGAAAAAGTTTCAGATTTTTTAATTTTTTTTTTTAAATAAACCCAGTTCGTCTTTTCCAATTAAAAGGAAAAGAGCAATTTAAATAGAGGTTTTTAAAATGAACTGGTTTGAAAAAATATAAAATGAAAAATATAAAAATAAAAAATATAAAAATAAAGCCTAAGTACCTTTCAGTGCATGCAAAATTGTCTCAGTAGTTACATTAGTTACAAAGCTAAGAAATAAATTAATATTTATTTACAGATTTCTTACATATTTTTGTACCTATCAATGTATATACATCAATATATATATTCCTTACTATAACTACTCCTTCAACAGACTAGTTTTTCAGGTGTTATGTTCCCAAAAGTTTAGGAGAGCCACACTCCTACTAGTAGAATTAAAATCTATTCCTGAGGGAAACTGAAGACTTCCTTGGTGTGAGAGAACCAACAGCTTATTCAAACCACATAGCACTTTTTCTCCCACCTTCCTAACATTTGGTAT